TGCGATGGATGAGGAATACAAACGTACGCAGGCTGAGATTGGTAGGTGGAGGATTGAACAGGTATAAGGCTTGACAAGATTGGAAATTTCGTTGTGTAATGCAATAACTGTTCGGTGACAAACCGTATCTTATCATAAGCTCCATGCTTACTACATGTATATATCTCTTCAAGTGGATATCTCCTATCAATTCCTACCATTGGTCGACACTCATCTTCAGGTATACAACATCTGGGAAGCTGACTTTCGTCTGGTCATCAAGGCCCACGATACCCACTGGCTTCCCCACTCGGACATTCTCGAAAGGCCTTCAGTTTGCATGGTCCATACATCAGCATCCATGCCATCATAGCGCCCGATAGCACTAACCCTGCTTGTTCTCCTCGGAAGTACAACATGCTGAACATGAACAGCAAAGAGATTAACTTTAGTATCATCGCTCCAATAAAGAAGTATGGCGTCGAAGGTGCCGCCACATCAATTGACAATAATCTCTTCCCTGCAGGTCGCTTCCTCGCAGCAGTTCGCCAGCGTTGCGCCGCAATGACCGCTCTAGATGCGTGAAAGAGATCGATCGGGCGACGCTCGAGCAATCCGTTCTCGTTGATCCGCATAAGGTCATCATCTTGAAGATCACGCTCGTCGGAAATGTGCCGTTCGATATCAAGATTTCGCCCGACATCTCGCTCTGTTGTGGTCATCCGAATCCAGTCGATGCGACGTAGTAGAATCTTCGCCTCGTGACAAGCATGCGGGAGTTGCTCTGCGAGTACTTTGATCTGCTCGTCGTCTAGATCACTGGTCTTAAATGACAAGCGAAGCAAAAGAGACGACTGCTCCGGTTCTGTATTGCGAAAACTGTTCTCTGAACTGTCGCATCGCTCCAGTCGACCCAATTGTAGGGTGCGCTTAAATGAACGAAGCCGATCCCAAGGGAGGCATGCCTGCGATTTCCGTCTTGTATTGATCCTCTCAGAAAGTTGAGTAAGAGTGAATGTGCCACCATCTGCCTCCTTCAACAGTTCTAGGAGAGAGTCACATAATGCTGTCGTGAAAGAGTTTCGTCCAGGTGCGCACGTGGGTGCATCTGCAGGAGAAGCCGCCAGTAGTTGGTAGGTGCGGGGTACACCGTTTCTGCACTTCATACCAGCGGTGCTGGCCATGCAGCAGTCAAGGATGGACAGAGCGTCGCCTTCCATATCATGACGAATGGGTTCCTCGGCACGGTTCCAAAATGCTGTTGGCATATGGCTTGCACTCATATTTGTAAAATCTTGGTTCCTAAGACTTCGTTAGTAGGATCGTGCTACATCGGGCATATATGCTTACGCTGATAGTTCCAGCCCGTTCACCCCACTCTGGTACCCATGACCAGTGTAGTAGAAGATCAGCAAACTATTAGGTCCATCATGTTCGTAAATGTGGTTCAAGATAGCTCTGTTCAGATCCACTTGAGGCTTCTTGAAGTTCTGAATCGAGTGAACCTTGCACGTATAACCGTAATCGTCCACAAAGATTCTCTCCAGTCGTGCAATCTGGCACATTTTGTTAGCTAAAATTTATTAAACGTAAAGGTTATGTTAAGATCATGGAGTCATACTTCTTCGGTATGCCTGTCTTTAAAGTCATCGATACTTTCATCCCATCGAATCATGAGGACGGCAACTTTAAGGTATCCATCGGGCAGCTCCAAGGCCTTATTCGAGTTTGTTTGGAATAATGCCTGCCTCTTGGGCTCCCTGATCAACTCCTTGTGCTCAGTCTCTACGCCTGATTGTGTAGCCGTGGAGCTCTCTGCAAGTGCAAAATTCTTGAAACAAGGAATCGTGGCCGCACTTCCGGAGTTGGAGGGGGGGACGCCAGGATGTGCAGGCTGCACAGGCGACTGATGTCGTGTATCCATTGTGACAGGTCTGACAAGGTCTTGTCATGAGCCACAGAACAGGGCGCCGCCTACTTTTGAATCTCATACGTGTGGAATTGCGCATAGCTCTTGTGACGGTCCTGCGTGGCTGAGTTCGTTCGGTGCAGCGATTGATGCTTGCGGATTTTTCATTTTCGCAAACAGGTAGGCAATTCTATCATTCCGCCTTGTAGCCCTCCCAATCTCATCGTGTGAATGATTGGATGTCCGGTGTTAAACAATCGTCCTCCACAACCCCCCCTAGTCACCCGCTGCCAACCATGTAGAAATGCGACCCACCATCACGATAACGCACAGGTCATTTGTTTGAAGGCCAGGCTGTTTTATGAGGCTCAAACTGTCGTCCCTGGGACGGACCGCCTTTGTATGGGATTGTTTGACCCTCCACTACACTGCCGGCGTACACGTCCCGTCCAGCCCCCGCAATAAAGGGCGCGACTACGCCCACCAGGCTGTTTTGACGCCTGAGGCCCTACCCGTACATTTTAGCAAGTCCAAACTGGCTACGATCGGGCATCCAATCAGCATATCTCAATTCAGGTGGTGATGTCAGATCAGGTAAGGTTACAAGTACCCCCGCCACCACAGCACCTTAGAAGCTTGACCGGTCACTCACCACTTTCGAATAGTCTTCAAGTTCGAGCAAGGAGGGCCAAAAGGCCTATGTTGGACGCTCCGATGATCCATCTGAGGTGGGCTCCATCAGATGTACACACGCTCGAAACTGCCGCTAAACGCCGGTGTAGCGGGGTCATAACTTCGAAGTAGGAGATGAGGTGCAGATGCGAGTGACGCAAGTCGGAATTGATGGCGTGAGTCGGAATATGTTCAAGCACTTTACCGTTGCTGCTCGAAAACTCTTCTCGGGGTATTGGAAGTACCAACTCAACAATCTCGATACTACTACGTTATACGAAGGAGGCGATTGGTTTTCAGAGGGCAAGCTTACAAGGAGCACCTGAATACTGGCGACACGTCATGCAGCCTTGAAAGATTTCCTCGGTGTCATCTTAGTCCTTCGCACTTGACTTATTTTGAGCTATGGAAACCCAAATCGAATATTTAAACTGAGGTCCTTCTTCAGCAAATGCATAGTATTATTCAGTCTCTCCATCCATTGTTTCTTTTTCTACATGTTTGTTTGAACACCTTGATCACTTGATACCCACATGAATTTTCGCAAAGAATGAACTTCATTAATATCGAAAGCCATGAGAAGAAATGCAGTGCAACGGCACCGCCGGGCTCCGGAAGTCCCATCATCGACATAGGCAGTCGAACAACAACCTTAGTGAACAGACCATCCGAACGTAAGTGCTGAACTCTCTGCGTGTCGCAATGGACTAAAGTACGAAAGTTCAAGTGCGGAAGTGCAAGTTGTCAGCAGAAGAGATATGGGAGGGCGTCAATGGCACCAAAACGATTCCATGTAAGTCATATATGGTCGTGTGGGCCTGCAAATCCTGATATACCAGTGCAAAATTACCCAAAGGGCTATCCCTTGCAAGCAGCTTTCCAGTCTAGCGAAACTAGCTGGTCCATTTATAGAGGTTTCAGCTATCTACATTCGCGTGTGATACTCGAGCTGCAAGACGAGATTCGATGCTTAGAGCAGAAACTCGTGGAGACCGATGAAATGGATCTCGAAAATGGAGATGGCAAGCGACTGCAATCAAGGAGTAGTGATCTTCTGCAAGCTAGCCGCGAAAAAATAGAAAGCGTTCGGGCGAAGTTGCTTCGTTCGATACAGGAAAAGTTGGTCATATATGGTAAGCGACATGTATCGAAAGTTTCACACAAGCTAGCTGATGCTCGGTCAGATGATTTACTGGTCAAAACTCGCGAACTCAACTCCTTCCAACGACCATCCAATCGAGATTACCGAAGCTTTCGCACGTGGTTTTGGAACGTCAAACCTCTGAACTACGAGCTTGAGGAAGAGTTCATCAAGAGACGAGAAGATCTCGTATCATTGCGTCTGGGTCGCGAGTGGTCAAGCTTTGATGGATTGATCGAGACATGCATTCGGAAGTTGCATTGCCGGTTCACCCAGGTAACTACTCTGAGTATTCATTATATGAGCGATGCAACTGATACTACATGTAGCGGTTATTTGCTACAAAAGAGCTGCGGGAGAAGACTAATGATGAATGCATCTACTACTACTCGCAGTCTCGCATCGAGAAGCTGGTCGGCTTGATTATCACATTGATCATATTTATCCTACTTGTTTTACCAGTTGTTGCAATGTACAAGCTGACTTCGGTTGGTGATCGCAACTCCACATTCGACGCTGTCGGCATCCTCGTAGTGTTCACACTACTTTTCTCCGCGGCGATGAGCCTGTTGACCAAAGCAAAGCGACATGAGCTGTTCGCCGCAAGCGCGGCTTATTGCGCTGTGCTTGTGGTTTTCATTTCGAATTTCAGGCAAAGATAGTAAATAGTATGCTCTTGATCGTGCTGGGCTGCAGCAGTTTCTTTCGAAATTGAACGATGACCAAAGAAGGTGGTATGATAATAGCGGTAGGTCGATGATTACTCGCTTTCGAGAGATGAACTTGTTTCTTACAAATTTCCTGTCGTATAATATATCCATCCCATAATAATTAGTCTCGCGCGGAATAATGTTAGTCAAGTAATAAAGTGCAGCCTCTCTCAGACTCATCACACAGCTACCGTGAATCGTTTTTTGCCAGCAGATGAATTTAGTCCTCTCGCAGGATAGATGATGCACATGTGCGCGAGAGCTAGGAAGCAGATAAGTATATCCACATCCACCGAGATAATGGTTCCACGACTAGGCGGTGTTCATTAAGCACATACGATTATCGCCCACGCTTAGGAATGATCTTGAATTTTGAGGGATAGGCCGGACGGGAGCTGAACAAAATGATGATGCTCCGATCGCTGCTTTAGGCCCATCAACCCCTCTTTTCCCATTTTGCTCCGCCACACGACCGATGACTGCACAAAGTTGCCCAGACCCCCGGACGTACTACAATTATTAATTTTAAAATTTTGTTTTCCTCCATCAATCCAACAGGATCCCAAGCACGGCTTCAACCGTCGCATTCCTCCGCTTGGTGTAGTTGGTTGTACGTTCTCCCCACGAATTCAAAACAGTCGTGCAAGGCACTAACTTGCGCAGTATCACGTTCGACTGTAATATAAATTTGTAATCGAAAGGTCCCTAGTTCGATTCTGGGAGCGGAGATATTTTTTTCTGCTTCAGGTCTCTTGTAAAATGGTTGTGGAATTCTTTTTGCCGGTTTGGTGGGACCAGGCGAGGGCTGGCGCGGGTGGTGATGGAGCCCGCATACAAGCGCGAACGGAGGAACATCACAGTATTATCAGTGTATAATAACCAGTATAGAATCTGTCTACGCAAGAAAATTCTTCCATCACTTTGTCCTGTAGGTGTAAAGATTCTTTTGTGGAAGTGCCTTATTCACGTCCCGGTCTCATCGTTGCCCGAGAGTCGCGTGCGTATTGTGTGGAGTTAGTACGCATGCACGGATGTGGAGTTCAATAGGCATGCAAGGAATAGATTGATCTGAACAGAACAAGTGGTCTTTTTTGTAGCGGAGCAATGGTGCTTGAAATTGCTGTATTCAAAGTCAAGACACCGTTGTAAATCTATTCAAGTACTCTGTTTCCAATTGGGTTATATAGTGATAATTTGCTACCAAGCTATATTCTACTCCACGGCCCGATGGCGCAATGGTAGCGCGTCAGATTCCAGATCCTACTCGGAGTCTCCTGAAGGTTGGGCGTTCAAATCGCCCTCGGGTCATAAGGTTTATTGTTTTTGCTCCGACATCTCCTTTTTGCTCAAGAAATGCATCTTGGTGGTGGGCTCTGTTGTGCGGAACTGGATCGCTTGCGGCTAATGCTGAGTGGGTCCTTTCTCGGGACTCCACCCGTTGCAAGACAATGATCCTCTTTGTTAGCCAAAGGAGCCAAATACCACAGCTTTTCCGGTAGAATTATCCTCTTGCACCAACGACTTCTCGAGTGCAAATAGAAGATGCGATGTCCGAACGAGAAGCTCTGCAGGAGGCGTGAGTACGTAAACTGTGACGAGTCCGTGACCTTACCATCATATTCGATCTCGAAAGAAACAGGCATGTCTTCGTCTGCGCGTATAAGGACGGGAATGTCTCTGCGGAATTTCCTTTCTTTCACATTGAAACGAATACCCGAACTCTTAGCTGGGCTCACCCATAGGATGTTCGGGTCGTCCAAGTCTGCCGTTTCCGATTTGAGCACCCTGACTGCCTCCTTACCCTTGGTCCCACCTTCCACCGAATCTACCGTTATAGGTATCTGCTCGTGTCGGCCCTTGGCTGCAGTTTCAGCTAGCCAATCTTTCCATACCCGCAAGACGCCCTCTTCCACATCCACAAAGCAGGTAAATAGTCCATGACGTGGCCCAATCTTGACTAGATTGATTTGCGCCACGAGTTGTGTGAACAGCTCGTGTGCTTCTAGACTTAGAGTTTGTTTCACGGTTGCCCCCTGGTACTTCTCCTTCGCCGTGCCTGGGAAAGTACGACTCCCAGGCACATCTCCAGGTCGTGGTAGCACTCTTCTACCTCCCTGCTCGAACTCTCGCTGGTGCGGGCGAAAGCGGCAATACATTGCCTGCATCTTTTGCAAGCGTTCGCCAATATTGCCATCGTCTGCTGCCTCAAATGAGGACAGTCCGTCTGTGCCAAGATATGTGCAGAAGTATGGTGGCTCAAAAAGCTTCGCGGAAGGGTGGTAGCATTCGAGGAGCAAAGAGTGCGACTCCAGTTCAGTAGCGGCGACAAGACGGTGATGCAGGATACGAAGAATGATAGTCGACAGCCGACGCGATATCGAGGTCAGGGGAAGCAGTTCATTCGTGGTCATAGGCACGAACAAGTGCAGCAGAATCTAGTTTATGGTCAACGGGACGGAGTCAAGATGATAGCTCGGGATGATAGCCCGAGGTAGCCTACCTCATTGGGGAGCTTATAGAGGTGACAATCAGCCATCTTGGTTTCACGCATGGAAATAGCCAAAGGCATCCCGATTGAGGGGCATCTGCTACATGGTGCTGGACGAATGGAAACCTTGATCTGCATATCGTCATGGCGGCGCGATACGGTGTTTGGGGCTAGTCCGAGTACGGTGGCGCTAAATCCGACGCGCTTTCCCGTTCGAGGTCGCGTCTTCACCTTTCCTCTCCCACCTCACGACATCAACTGCACGTGAGGCTTGAGCGTGTTCAAGCTTCGCCTTGGTGTCTACACACACCTAAGGCCTGACTCTGATGGATATGAAGCAATTCGTCCACCAGCGCGACCGGGCGGCTAGCCCAAATGGCCACAAGAATGGCCAACGTATCAACCCAGAGCGGAGGGCCATCGCAGCGAACGCCAAAGTGGCCTTGAGAAAAGCACCTGCAAGTGTCACTCAAGTCGCTCAAGAAGCTCATCAGTCACAAGCACCACCAGGTCTTCCATCTCGCGGGTTCGGGAATGCACAAAACACATCTGCTACTGTGCAACATGACTCGCGACGCCGCCACGAGGCACACGGCCATCGGCCTGATGCATTTGATACTGATGCCGAAAGCCTCGACACCACTGTTAACCAATCTGTCATCAATGCAGAGTCTGATCAAGTGAAAGATGCTGCGGAACAGCGGCACGACCTTGTTGTAGGACTTCGCAGCGATGGACTCGCCAAAGAGGACGATGAGTACGATGAGAGCGATGGAATCGAATACGAAGAAGTCGATGTCGGGGAATACATTCTCAGGACGGAAGACCTTAACTTTCTTCGACAACACGGTCAACAGCAGCTAACCCAAGAACAAGCCATAGAGTTCTTGGTACAGCATCGCCCAGAAAGCTTTCGGACGGTCGAGGGTGATTCCTACCCGAGTACCACAGACGGGCATCCAACAGAATGGAACGGTAAAGCAGAGCCGAGTTCTGAATTGCTTGATGACGATGAGGGTCCGGCATCCCCATCTCTTCTTGCTCGCGGCCTGAACCTCCGCCCTCCTTTGACACCTCTATCCATGCGCCGAGGACTAGCTGATGGAGATGCTGAAAGACCTGGCCGTCATGCGAATAAGCTTTTCCAGCAGTCTGCGCACTTACGTGATCAGCAGCGAGGTAGCAGGCACTCTGGTGGACCCATGCAATCAAGTCAGCCGCCCTCCTATTCTCAAGCGAATCAGGTTTTTGTCCCATCTCCAACACTGAATCTTTTCACGCACTCAGTTCAGCCTCATGGTCAGAATTTACAGCAACCGCAAAGCCAGAAACAATGGATTGCGCAACCTTTCAATGCTGGTCAATCTGCGACGCCGACTCATCGTCTGTCGTCAGCACACAACAAAGTCGTTCCAGCCATCCAGCACCAGGTCATGGATCCAGTTCAGCCGCAAAGCAGTAACATTGCCCCCGAAGGGGACTACGACTTTGAGGATCTGAACGCCATCCAGTTCGACGAACTAAAGCGTGAAGATTTCGACCACAATCCTCGTGCACTGCCTCAACTTCTATCAGACGACATGCAACGGAAGCCTCTCACGGAGCGGCTGGAGCACGTTCAGCATAATTTCGATGCGGGCAAACAGTCACAATTCTTCTCTGCATTGCCTACCGCCGAATGGGAAGATGCGGGCGACTGGTTCCTAGAGCAATTCAGCAGTATCATTCGACGCACAAAGGACGCGCGACAGAACAAACGCAAACTTGCTCAAGGATTTGAAGACGAGATCGAAAAGCGACACGACCACGTCAGTAAAAAGCAGCGCCAGGTGGAGGAAGCTATGCACAAGATGCAGACCCAGGGCGAAGGCTTGATGCCACGAAGCCCACGCGCAAGCAAGAGCCCCAAGCCAAAGAAACGCTAGATCTGAGGACGCCGCAGTTGACGTATGGTGGAGGACGAGATATGATAGCACGACATAACGAGTTAAATAGCATGGAAGCTAATGGTGCGTAAAAGGAGAGGGCGTGTCGAGATTACGAGCTATATACCCATCACGAAGCAAGCATGTATACTATGAGCATTACCAGATACACTACGGATGTTGAACGATAAATTCAGTGCCACTCCGCAACACTTCTGCTTGCATTGTGCTGCTCACACCGTCCCGCATGCCAAGATTTGATCATTAGGCCGAACGCATGAACATTTGACGAGCGATGTACAATATCGAGTCGTTTGCTCTACTAAATGCACAAGGAGAAATGCTCAACTGACGACATGTAGGCTGTGGTTCTCCACCAGCGCCAATGCGCGTTAAAACTTGGCTTTGCGTAACCTTCGTATGAGCCATCAGAGATATGGTGTCACCTCACAACGTCAATCGCGCCAGGTACGTGGCTATGCGCATGGTAGCCTAGCGAAGGGGAAGCGGGCGGCGCCGTGTCAACTTGCCCTGTGTCTCCGAGTCAGTTGGCGGGCTTACCACCCGCATGTCAGCTGTGCGGAAACGGGCAGCTCCGTGAATTTGCGATTGCAAGTGCCTATGAACTCCAATTGACTCAAGACCATGCGCTTTTCGGGACCTAGCACAGCGAAGGAGAAGCGGGCGATGTTTTTGTAAGGTTGCGTGGCTGAGGGCTTGGGCTCCGTGTAAATTCCCTCCTCGCGGAATTGACACGGAGCACAACCAGTTCATTGTCGGGAGCCTAGCGATGGGGAAGTGGGCATCATTGCAACGCTTTGCATCACAAGTCATACTGAATCTATCGTGCCCTCTCTTGCGACCCAATTTCTGCGATCGTATCAGTGTGCTATCCGTGCAATCTACAAAAGGTAGCGCTGGGAGCAGTACTAGAGTCGCGAACAGTGGTTGTAGTGCACCCACTTTGGGGACAGCTTTCGCGCGGGCACCAGCCAGCAGCAATGTGGATTGCATCCTTCATGGCAGTGTTTGTGTTCCCGACGCCGGTCGTGAACATCATGCTGATGCTGTCCTCCTCTTCCTGGGCAGTTGGCGTGTTGCGCTACTCGCATCTGCGCCTCACTGCGGGTGCAGGGATGACGTACCGAGACGGATCGCTGGCTGGCTTGAAGATCCTCGAGAGCCAGCTGCTTGACCGTTGGATTCCCCAAGCCATAACGTTTATCGTACCGGGCTTGGAAATCTCCTCCAAAGCCGAGTGTTGTTGAAGCTGTGAGACCTCCAGTCACTACCACTTTCTCCAGTAAGTACCTCCACCGGCCTCGAAGCGTCTCTTCGTGCAAGGCTGAGGGCTGACATCAGTGTGAACAGACACAAAGGGCCCATTTTGTGTCCTTGGCCTGGCCTGAGGTCGAATCGAAGCCGCGAGAATGGCGGAGACTATCATTCCCCCGAAAGAAAGCTGGGACTCGGTTGAGGGACTCGACCCAAGCACGCCGCAACCAAAGACACTCGCAACATGCGAGTTGCCAGATGACGACACACCCCGCGATAGGAGAAGGCGGGCGTGGCACACAGCGAAGATTGAGGAGAGACGTGCAAAGCAACGTCTGAACCAAAGCACCAAATCGCCAGATCGCGGCGGCCTCATGGTCACATGTTCGCCGGTTGCTGAAACTTGCCACGCCCCGCTGGACGCTTACCTTGACCACGACGCATATCTTCATGAGAATAAGCCGCATGATCGTACACACGGTCAGTGGAAGATAATCAAAGAGCTAGGGCTTTGCGCAGCCTGCTTGACGAGAACGATCCCTTCGCACAAACCGAGCGATCAGCGTGCGCCATGCAAAGGCCGTCTGAGCGTGCCTTTCGAGGATGCCGACATCCCTACT